ACGCTTGCTACTGTTGTTGCGAGTTGCCATTCGTTCTACTAAACCATTAGTCAAACGCCATCATGTCTTCTGTCGTTATTACACAAACAAAAATCTCTTTACTGTTACTAGTGTTAGTGCCTCAATATGGCTACGCTCGTGAAAGCAATACAACGAACTCAAACGCGTCTTCGTCCAATGTTGTCAACTAATATCCGGATTAATTTTATGCAAATCTTCCTTAATTCTCCGGAGAAATTTTCATAAAAATTTGAAAAACCCGGAATGCCGGGAAAATCCGGAGGACTTTCATCTCTGAATTAACAAAATGTATTTTAAAAGTGAATTCAACAAAATGCCTGTATAATAAGTCTCTGAATGTATTCTTAATTTTGTGATAATACTCACCATTAATGTGAATGGTTTTCCGTTCCTCACGGTTGCTAAAAACGCAGCAAAACTATCGGAATGAAAGTCAGCTTGCCGGGTCCATAGGCGGAGTTGCTGCTGGCAAGCTTGTACCCTGCTCAGTAGCTTGCACGCTTCCTTTCCGCTGTCTCTCGCAGGGTATTTTGATGCGAACATAGCATGGCGCGTGTCAAAGTGCCGCTTTACATTCGACCATTACATCGATGGTATTTTGTCATTGCAACTTAGACACACCGCAGAACCTGTTCCCTCCACAAAGGCAAATCCTTCTGTCCATTCGTCCTGAAGTCTACCATACTCGTCGTCTTATTCGTTTAGGATTAGCTTTGAGCTAATGACCGAGCGGGCTGATTCAAAAGGGGGTGTTTACCTGTTTCCGCAGCAACGGCAACATAGGCCAGTATTATACAAGCAAAATTGCTCCTGGCGCCAACTGAAGCCCTGAACAGGAAATGAGCAGTAAAAAAATCGATGGATGAGATTAAACAAACGAGAATATTTTGTTTTATCTGCGAGCCAGATGCAATCATCAAAAGAGCCACATATGGCTCACGAGCCATCGGTTCCCGACCCATGGCTCTAGTCCAAGTTTGGTTAGACCGCATCGCTTGGCGGGCCAAATTGTTCTTGAAAAACAACTGCACAACTACGACATACAAAAACAATAATAAGCTTATTATTTATCTTAACCTGTTTTACTTTTTAGCAAAGAACTCTGCATCTTACTTTTCAATATCTTACGTCAGACTAAACGAATGTTGCCCAATTTTGAGGCGACTGATGTCTCGTAGTCGATTTTGAGTTGGCTTAATGCATTGTAGCCGTGTACTGTGACGTACTCAACGAGTGGTCATGAGACGTATGGGTCACCATGATGACAAAAAGTCTGGCATATCAGAATTTTTGTTCGTTTTGCCGCAGTGTGACATGTCCTGCATCACCCATCAATCGTTTTTTGGTCAATGCCAATTGGAACACAGTGCCCTTCTACTTAGGACAAGAGACTGGACATGGCGCACACAATCACAATGTGCTGTAGTGCATTTAAAGTCACTTGAACAAAATGGGAAATCCTGGAAACTGTATGTAGCATTTCAACTCGCGTTATGTTAGCTAAATGCAAAGCTCGTAGCTGATTGGGAAACATGGTGTTTGTAAACAAATCCGTTTTGGATTTTTGATTTTTTTTTAGAGAGTAGTCAGTCCATACCGCCCACCATTTTTTTTCTTTGTTTCTGCCTTTTCTGAACACAGAAACAACACACATGCACATAATGTAATGCCTCCGTCGACATGACTTCGTCAGTTGCTTGTCCTGCGTCCCCGACGGACGTGCGCTCTTGGACTGAATCTTGACGCAATGACTGGGAAGGTTCTGGTCAGTGACGGTCTTCTAAGTGCATCATCTCACCTGGTCCAATACACAGAAAAATATTCATCTGGTAGTCTGACAGCACAACAGTTGTGAACGACAAAAAGTTTGTGTCGTCTGACACGGCCATTATTTATTGTTCGTATTATTTATATTTGATTATTTTTAAAATGCTGTGGGCCTGCCTTTAATTGTACTCATTCTCTTTTGCTCATTTCTTTTAAACTTGTGATATTTTGTTATTTGCCAAAGTTGAATAAAATAAATGTTAAACTGTAGATTTTTTTTAGATTTTGGCAATTGCATAAATTAATATTTCTTATCACAAACACACAAAAGGACAGATAAATGGTCCTGTTAAGTTCTGGTCATGATTCCAGGTACGGTTGAAATGTTAAAGGTACCCATCCCTAATTATTTCATATTTAGCATCTTTCTACTCTAATATCTCAGCCTTTAAGAAAACGTGACTTCTGTGTCGTTAACTTTTTTGGGATGGCGGGATGGTTGTTTTTTTTTTCTCCCCGTATAAAATGTAACTGAATATTTATCATTTGACATACATATCTTGTTCAAGTCATTCCTTATGGAAACATTTCAACCTAACACTCCCGAAAATATGCGCAGTGAGGTAAAAGATCAACGATCAAGTTTTAAGTGGTTAAAATGCCAACTATTGACAAATGGATATGAAAAAAGCAAAAACATGTCGATTCCATTGTATTTATTTATGAAACTGGTACTGCTCAAGGCAGACCTACATCAGTGAACTCTGGGTGGCCCGAGGCTGTCGCGTCGTGGCCCGGGCCACTGACAATGTATGACCCTGTTCCAATTCAAATCCCTCACATCACAGTCGGGCATTGAATTCTTGAGACTGTCACTGGTGTATACATGAAGGAGCAAGAAGAATTTTTTTTTATAAAAAATAACGTCTGACATTTGGACACAAACCAAAGCAAACACTAACCACAGACAAGATTCCTGCGTTGACCAATTCACAAATGCTCTCATTTTAAGTTTGAAAGAGATCATGAGCAAAATGTAAGCATGTTCCTTCAAATACAGGGGGAGAGACGTACATGACCAAGGTATGAAATCAAGGCAAGATCCAGACAGAGTATACGTTAGTCAGGTCCCCAATGGCGAAGGCAGTATTCCTGATTCCTTGACAAACACACAATGTTCCCAAACTATGTTGCCTCATGCTCGCTGTCGTCATTGTTGCATCATTTGGTGAAAGCAGCGACTACAGCCCATAAAAGCTCATTTGTGTTGGCCTTAAGACTTTCACTTTCGGGCTCCAGTTCCAGCAGCAGCCGTACTCTTTTCATTGCCATGTCGTACTGGTCATCTAGCAACGGCGCAAAGGCGTTTTCCAAGACGTCAGAGGAATGGGCTAAGAAAACGAGCGCGAGAACTCGCTTGTCCATTCGATGTGGGTCATTCACCCACCGATCCAATAACGCCTCTTGGACCTTCTTGATGAGACGCTGTTTGAGGTTATTGTTAGTAAGCGGGTGTGTGGTCATATCAAAAAGCAGGAAGTTCTGCTTTTCAGTGGTAAGAACACCTTTCTCCACCAAATTTTTGGCGAGTCTTTCACGGACATTCCTCAGCTGATAATGAAGCTTCAGCGGATTCCATGTCTCTCCTGAATACAAGACAAACCACATGTCACTCATAAAGAGTTAGAAACAGCAAGCATGACCTAAACATTGTAAACAAAGAAACCTCAGTAGAAACAAGACCAAAACAAACAAACAAACAAAAACAAAGAAAACAGAAACAGTCACACACATTCGGGTGTTCGTACTAAAGAACTCACCACTGAGTAGTTCGATCCAGCTCTGTACAGTCTCTGGTGGTTGGGTCTCTTTGATGTGTTTTAATGCTTCATCCAGAAGTACGTCACCCGTAGGAGCGTCTGACTTGCAAATCACCTGCAGACCAACAAATAAATAAATAAATAAATAAACTTCTACACACTCATTACCTCTGTGCAGCATTCTGCAGAGACAGTGAGGCAGAAAATGTGTTATTGCTCTGTATACTTGGGAGGGGGTGGGGGGGTGTTATTTGAGCTCCTGCTGAACTTTCAAATTAAAAAATAAAGAAATCCATCCATCCATTTTCTGATCTGCTTATCTTGACAAGGGTTGCGGGGCGTGCTGGAGCCAACCCCAGCTGTCTTCGGGCACTCGGCGGGGGACACCCTGAACCAGCCAATCGCAGGACAGACAACCATCCGTGCTCACACTCACACCTACGGACAAGTTTGAGTGTTCAATCAGCCTGTCATGCATGTTTTTTGAATGTCAGAGGAAAACGGAGTACCCGGAGACATCCCATGCAGGCACTGAAAGAACGTGCAAACTCCACACAGAAAGGCCGGAGCTGGAATCGAACCCCCAGACCACTGCACTGTGCTAACCTTGCTAACATCGGCCTCACAGTGCAGAGGTGCAGGGTTCGATTCCAGTTCCGGCCTTCCTGTGTGGAGCGACCCTTGTTAGGATAAGTGGATCATAAAATGGATGGATGATGGATGGATATCAATATCGACTGATATGAAAAAAATATTGCGAGAGAATTCCCCTCCATATCTCCCTGCCTTAATATGTGACCATTTCACTCTCATAGTTGTTTCTATTCGACAAATTAGATTACAGAAGGTCACTTGAAAGTGATGATGCTTAGCTCAGAATCAAGTATCAAGTATCAAGTACAACTTTATTGTCAGATGAAATTTCTTCCCTCTCACAACATACAACAAGAGGAGCCACTGCGGGTGCCATCAAAATAACAGTTAACATAAAATGACAAACTAATACAAGACAACACATTAGAAACAGACAATCGTGCAATCTTAACCACTTTCCTGTCACTAAGATTACCAGGAGGATTTCAGAGGTCAAAATTCTAGTTAGGACTAAACATTTTTGAAAAAGCATAAAATGAAAAATGAGTTGAGTAGGAAAGAATGACTGTCTGACCTTTCTGGCAAGAAGACCTTTCCTCCGCATGCCACAGGCTTCCAACTGAAGACGACCGCGCAGAGCGAGCTCAATCAGCATGCAGCCTCGTAACCCCGATGAAATGCAGTCATTCCAGAATGATGTATATCCCTATAAAATAGAACACACATCCCCTATAAAATGGAGAACATTTCATAAAATATTACTTAGATTCCTCAAAAGAAATCCAAGAGTAAATTTCTAATAAAATATTAGATTCCTCAAAAGAAATCCAAGAGTAAATTTCTGTTGAAAAGCTCACGGTGAGGCCTGAATTCTGAATTATCTTGTTGGGTCTTATGAAGACACTGTGAAATGTCTGAAGTTGTAGGAAAAAAATCCCTTTAAGTCCCAATTACGGTAATTGAAGACTATTACATAATTGTGCATAAGGGGTGGATGTGAATTTGAGTGCGAATTGCGGTTTGTTTATAGCGCGAGAGCAACGACTTCTATTTTTTATTTTTTTTGTAGCTGATGCTATTGTGATGAGTCACCTGAAACTTGGGTGACATGACGATATGTATCGTGAAGACCGGAGAAACTTCTCTATCGTGTCACTTTGCTCCTATCGTGTCTACCGTCATTTGAAGCCCCTCAATTGCGGCCAGCTGGGAGACTGAACAGCAACAGAGGGAAGACAATCATAATACATATTGTCATCATACGTAACAACCTTCCGGTGTAACGTTAAATCGAGCAAATCAATGAAAATTAATAAGGTGGGCGAATACTATTACGTGGGGAAAGAATGGACAAACAACAACTAACTATTTACAAATTTTAAAAAATGGCAAGGCAGACTGAATAATCCAAACTACACAAGGCTCACATCACAATTTGCATTTTGAGCCTCATTAAAATACAAAGCAAAACAAAACTGAGAATCACAGATTTTTACATTTTTGGAGGATAATTGAACAGCGGAGACCATCCCAAAAAGCTTTGCTGGGCTGCTACGTTACCAACATGCGGGTAATCAGCAGGTTGAGGCGAGATCGGTTCTATTTACGCCTCAACAGCTAGCTAGCAACAAGCCTTGACTGGCTACTATGTTGGCTAAACACGTGCTTTTGCTCCTAAGTCTGTAATCACATGCATTCTTCTCATGAAGGGGTTATGAGGACCAATTAACAGAGGCAAAGATGGAGAAGCCATCCTAATTGTTAAGCTAATAAGAGTGCGTGAGTGATTGACCACAATTTTTCTTAGATGTCTCACTGGAACCACGTTAAAGTGGAGTGTAGCCACCTTTGAACAGAAAATAGCAGGCAGTCTGGAGAGAAAATTATACAAAATAAACAGCTACGACTAAATGTTTGTGATGTTTGCTACGGCGACCCGTACATCTGCCGGGAGGAGTTGCTTAGAAGATTAAAAGTAATATTAACAATGAGGGAAAGCACTTCACAAAATGGGTGGATCTAATAATATATTGGATACATACCCTCACCGGCCACTTTATTAGGTACACCATGCTAGTAACGGGTTGGACCCCCTTTTGCCTTCAGAACTGCCTCAATTCTTCGTGGCATAGATTCAACAAGGTGCTGGAAGCATTCCTCAGAGAGTTTGGTCCACATTGACATGATGGCATCACACAGTTGGCGCAGATTTGTCAGCTGCACATCCATGATGCGAATCTCCCTTTCCACCACATCCCAAAGATGCTCTATTGGATTGAGATCTGGTGACTGTGGAGGCCATTTGAGTACAGTGAACTCATTGTAATGTTCAAGAAACCAGTCTGAGATGATTCCAGCTTTATGACATGGCGCATTATCCTGCTGAAAGTAGCCATCAGAAGTTGGGTACATTATGGTCATAAAGGGATGGACATGGTCAGCAACAATACTCAGGTAGGCTGTGGCGTTGCAACGATGCTCAATTGGTACCAAGGGGCCCAAAGAGTGCCAAGAACATATTCTCCACACCATTACACCACCACCACCAGCCTGAACCGTTGATACAAGGCAGGATGGATCCATGCTTTCATGTTGTTGACGTCAAATTCTGACCCTACCATCCGAATGTCGCAGCAGAAATCGAAACTCATCAGACCAGGCAACGTTTTTCCAATCTTCTATTGTCCAATTTCGATGAGCTTGTGCAAATTGTAGCCTCAGTTTCCTGTTCTTAACTCAACTCAACTGTATTTATAGAGCACTTTCAAATCCTCTGACCTCTGGCATCAACAAGGCATTTCCGCCCACAGAACTGCCGCTCACTGGATATTTTTTCTTTTTCGGACCATTCTCTGTAAACCCTAGAGATGGTTGTGCGTGAAAATCCCAGTAGATCAGCAGTTTCTGAAATACTCAGACCAGCCCTTCTGGCACCAACAACCATGCCACGTTCAAAGCCACTCAAATCACCTTTCTTCCCCATACTGATGCTCGGTTTGAACTGCAGGAGATTGTCTTGACCATGTCTCCATGCCTAAATGCACTGAGTTGCCGCCATGTGATTGGCTGATTAGAAATTAAGTGTTGACGAGCAGTTGGACTGGTGTACCTAATAAAGTGGCCGGTGAGGGTATGAACTACTCATAATTTGTTTTCACAAATCAGGTTTGATTTAGATTTTTCAGATCTGCACAATCAATATCAAAATTACAGTACCGCTCATCTGTTTATTTGTTTGTTTTTAATCTATTTCTGTCACAAACATGATTTTTCATGCCTCTTATTTAGATGGATAGCTACATTTGTGCAAAAATGTCAGCTACTGTGCTTCTGTTTACATTTGATAATTTTATATCCGGTAGCAGCACGGCTGGATGCATTTCTCATTTGATGCAGGTCTGTTTAATTTCACTTGAAAATACAGAAACGGTAAGCAGTCAGTGTGTTGTAGATTTTTTTTTTAATCGAATAAGTGAAAAGCTATTGTGACATAAAAAGGCCTACATCAACTCTGACTAATTGATGGCATTTTTTCCAGTCATGAAATCGTTGGGTGTGCCTCCATCCACAAAGTGGGTCTCCTCAACAAAACATTCCTCAGTTGCATAAGTCTCAACGCTCAACTGGTTCATTCAATCACATTCAGAAACTCGCTCATCCAAATCACACAAGCTAAAGAAACTAAAGTAAAACTGACAGCAGATCACAAAACACAACCGCAGGGGAACACGTCACTACACTCTATCACAAATGCATACGATTTGAAAACGATTAACATGGAGGGAAAATGAAAGGCTTCAATTGCATTTTGTTGAAAACCAGCAGTTGTATGTGAATTGTGAGTTTATTAAGCCCTGACTGTCTGTCAGACCCTGAAGCTGCTGTGATTTGTGAATGGAAGCATGAGTCTAGCTGTGGGGCCAACATGAGAAAGAATTTTCCAAATTATCTGCTAGAAAAAGACTGACAGTTGAGAGAAACACTAGTGGATTTTGTCTTTGCCGACATTAATTCTTCATATTTCATAGGTTCGGTGATTGATCAACCACTCAAGTGTATGGTCTGTTTTTTCATCATTTACAGGAGGGTTTGCTAATGCTAGCTGCTCATCAGCTAGCTTTCGCAAATGCCTCTTCTGGTGGCTATGCAAATCACTTTTGTGTCTTTTGTTGTTGTTTGTTTGTTTATTGAACATATATAAAACATACAACAACAGATGACAAAATGCAAACAAAAATTATAAAAGGAAAATAAAAGTAAGTAATACAAACATCATCACAGTTATATGTTCAAAGGAGTAGGGAGAAGTATACAACTTATCTAGTCCTACCCCTTGTTGTGCAATAATGTATATTGATCATTTCCAATACCAAAGAAAAAGAAGAAATCTAAATCTCATCAAATACTTTTACCCTTTTGTGTACTATGCTTATCTATTGATACACCTTTCGGTTTGTATATATATAATTGTTCTTTCTACTTTTTATATCAAATGACTCATATTCATTATATATACTGCATTTCTTGAATACATTCAATAAGTTGTTCAAAATCCAGAACAAGAACAAACCATAGTATTACTATATTTTATAAGTACCAGAATGTAAAATTTATCTTCTTAACTTTGTTTTATGTAGTTTTTTTGTACTAATCTTTTGAATTTGTTTTTGAACTCGTCCAAAGATTTACTCATTTTCAGATCCATCTCAAGCTTATTCCACAGATTAACTCCTATTACTGATACACACCTTTGCTTGATGTTTGTTCTTGTTCTGGATTTTTTGTATTGATTAATACCTCTTAGATTATAACAACTATCTCTGATTTCAAAAAGCTTCTGGATATTTTGACAAAGGAGATTGTTATGTGCTTTATACATTAATTGGGCAATTTTGAAGTCAACCAGGTCATAGAATTTCATTGTATTTGATTTGATGAATAGTGGATTTGTGGGTTCGATATATTTAGACCAATTGATTATTCTGATTGCTTTTTTCTGTAGTTTTAAGACAGGGAGTGTGTTTGATTTACAGGCGTTACCCCATATTACCACACAGTAGGTCATATATGGGAGTAATAATGAG